TCCTTTTCCAAAGAGAGGCTTTACATGTACTCTGTGTATCAAAAAGTCATCTCTATGCTCTGTTGTTATTCTTCAGGCTGAAAAATTGTCAATTTTTTCCTAGGTACTAAATGCTGATTTTTTTGGTAATGTTTCATTTATTTACTCTATATGTATTAATTCTAAAGAAAAAAAACTTGCACACACAGTAAATTAAAATTTTAACTTTTGTAAGAACAATTATTTTCTTATACTAATTTTACTGAGGGTTTTTTTTCATTTTTTTATGAGTTGCACATGACAATACAATGATCTTGACATATCATACATTTGAATCCAAATGGGTATAATTTCTCATTTTTCTGAGTGTACAGGTTGCAGAATCACATTGGTTATACAGACATGTATATACATACAGCAATACTAGTGTCTATTTTATTCTGCTGCCCTTCCTATCCATCCTCTCCCTCCTTATTCCCCCCTCCCCACCCCTCCCATACTTCTCTCTACCCAATCTAATGTGACACATTTTTTCCCCCCCACATCATCCTACATGTATTTTGTATAAGGATGAGGGTGTCCTTCCATCTTCCGTGCAATTCCCCTTCTCCCTCCCTTTCTCTCCTACCTCGCTTCCCTATCTAGAGGCAATTTTATTCTCCTGTTCTTCCTCCCCACCACATTTTGAGTCACCCCCCCTTATATCAAAGAAGACATTCAGCATTTGTTTTTTAGGGATTGGCTAACTTCACTTAGCATAATCTGCTCTAATGCCATCCATTTCCCTGCAAATGCCATGATTTTGTTATTTTTTAGTGCTGAGTAATATTCCATTGTGTATAAATGCCACATTCTTTTTTATCCATTCATCTGTTGAAGGGCATCTAGGTTGGTTCCACAGTGAATTGTGCTGCTATGAACATTGATGTAGCTGTGTCCGTGTAGTATTCTCATTTTAGGTCTTTTGGGTATAGTCCAAGAAGGGGAATAGCTGGGTCAAATGGTGGTTCCATTTCCAGCTTTCCAAGGAATCTCCATACTGCTTTCCAAATTGGCTGCACCAATTTGCAGTCCCACCAGCGATGTACAAATGTACCTTTTTCCCCACATCCTCGCCAGCACTTGTTATTGTTTGACTTCATAATTTCAAAATGAAATTGAATCCCTTTCTCTCACCATGCACAAAAGTTAACTCAAAATGGATCAAGGAGCTAGGAATCAAACCAGAGACTCTACGTCTAATAGAAGAAAAAGTTGGCCCTAATTTCCATCTCGTGGGGTTGGGCTCCAAATTCCTTAATAGGACACCTATAGCACAAGAGTTAAAATCAAGAATCAACAAATGGAATGTATTCAAACTAAAAATTTTTTTCTCAGCAAGAGAAATAATAAGAGAGGTAAATAGGGAGCCTACATCCTGGGAACAAATTTTTACTCCTCACACTTCAGATAGAGCTCTAATCTCCAGAGTATACAAAGAACTCAAAAAATTAAACAACAAAAAAACAAGTAACCCAATCAACAAATGGGCCAAGGATCTGAACAGACACTTCTCAGAGGAGGACATACAGTCAATCAACAATTACACGAAAAAATGCTCACCATCTCTAGCAATCAGAGAAATGCAAATTAAAACTACTCTAAGATACCATCTCACTCCAGTTAGAATGGCAGCCATTATGAAGTCAAACTTGCTGATATTTTTAAGCTCTCCCTCCTAACCCACATATTTTTTATGGCCACCCAAATAGTCATCAGTTAAATTTTAAATTCATAGAATTCATATTATACTCCAATTAGCCTGGGTTATTTATTTACTAAATGTATTTATTAAAAGCAACAACAGTGTAAAGTAAAAACTGTTCAACTTCATTATTAGAACATATAGCTAATGAGTATCTGAGGTCTCAAAGGAATTGGGCTAAAAATTACACCATTTATACATCCCACTATAGTCTTTTTAAATTAAATTCTAAATGTTTTTAAGTAGCTATTTTCTCTAGCATGGAATATAAGCACCCTTCCATTATTTGAACAGTAGAAGAAGCTAATTAATAAAAATGTAAAATTTAAAATAATTTTGTAATTATTTTCAACAATGCCTTTTACTTTTTTGAACTTATTGTGTTTATTAATTAGGTTGCAGATCCCATGTGTGCAATATATGACAATAGGAAGGAGTGGTTGAAAGCACAATTATAAAACTAAACATAATAATAAATGTAATAATAAAAATAAGATAAGTCCCCAAAGGACACTTGAAAACTAACTGTAAATTATTATTCATTGTAATAGAAAATGAAAAACTCTTATATGAACCAGGTCAGGGGAAAAACAAATTTGGGGTACTAAAAGTGCCCTGAAAATTATGAGTAACTGTAAGAGATTGAACTATAATAGAAAGGATAATCAAAATGAATTTAGAGACTTCTGAAAGCTGAAAGTACTCTCATCTTGCCTTATTTTTGAGCACACAAATAATTTCACTTAAATCACTCTGAAATTAAGAAGTGAGAAAGTAAGAGCAATTAAGGCAGAGTGATTTAAGTGAAATCATTTGAAATTTGGCAGAAATAGAACTAGAATCCAGTTCCATCGGCCTTTGGTATTCTAATTTCTTTTAAACCATATATTCTCCTACATTTTTGCAATCCTTTGATATTTACCATATATCCTGGATACATTTTTATGTTCCTCATTTCATTAATACTACATGTCTTGTTTAATACATCATCTTATAATTATTGCTGATTTTTTTTTTGCAGTCTTGGGGATTGAGCCCAGCACTATTATAACAGCTATGTTACCCACCCACTTTACTGAGCTCTTATTTAATCCTCATATTAATTTTATAAAGTATAACTGTCATTTAATAGACAAGAAAGCTGTGACCATGATTTCATTTGCTTACTTTCTCAATCACTGCAGCATGTTGATTGGTGGCCCTCCAATAGATGCCCATGCCCTAACTCCAGGAACCCGTGTATGTGGCCTTATTTGGAAAAGGGTCTTCATGGTTGTAGTTAAAGATCTTGAAACAAGGATGATCTTGGATTTTCTGGGTTGGCCCTAACATTATTTATAAGGTTCAAAGTCAGAACAGAAGGAGACATAAACACAGAGGCTATGTAAAGATGGAGGCAGATACTGAAGTGATATGATCACAAGTCAAAGAATTGAAGCCACCAGAAACTGGTAAAGAATAATTCTCCCCCAGAGCCCTAGGAAAGAGCAGACTTTGGACTCCTAGTCTCCAGAACTGTAAGGGGATAAATTTCTGTTGCTTGAGCTGTGCAGCTTGTAGTAATTTGTTACAGCAGCCCTGAGAAACCAATGCAATTATCTTTTGGATTGTCATTGTCTCAGAACAGAAAGGGCCTCTTTACTGTCTTTCCATTTTGTGTTTTTGTTTATTTTTATTTTTTTTGTGATGCTGGTGATTGAACCCAGGTACAATACTAAGCAAATGCTTGACCACAGAGCCACATCCCTGGGCTGACCACCCCATATTTTAACTTATAAGAAAGACCTAACCACGTTTCTCTCTGTGTGTTCCATGAAGGAACCCTCTGCAGCCAGTTCCTTACCATGAAATGTTTCCCTGAATGATGTGTCTAATAATAGTTCTTTTCTTCTACAATTCAGAATCACTGCTTTTATCCTCTCTCAAAGCAATGGCAACCCATGCTTTTTGCAGTTAAAATAATATATGCCTTTCCCCTATTCCCAGCATATTTTACACACTAATTAAATTAGTACAAATAACATGAAACCTACTTGCACTTGAAAATGCAACTTATTCTTATATTACTACTCTGAAAACTTCCTAACACTTTAATCCAGGAAATAATTGATGTTGTTTGTGAACATACGTTTAACACATGCTATGAACATTTTTTAAAACTATACTTGGTGTTTCAAATAGTCCATGGCTCCTTTTTATTGATTTATTCTGATTGAAAATTATTTCTTATCCTATTTAACATTATTATGAATTATCTCTTTGTCCCTCCACATCTGTCTACTCTTCATACTCTCTATCCTGCAGAGGGTTCTCATGATGATAAAAATCATCCGGAATTTCACCCATACTTGACTTAGATTATTTAGATGATAAGATTTAGGACTTTGGAGTTTATGATATTTAAATTAGATTTTGGATCTTATCCACAGCATGCAGATCAGTTGTGTCCCCTTCTGTCCTCTTGTTGAGCCTGAATTCAGTAGGTTAGAGGCACTGTCAGGAGAGAGAGATCAGGGTATTTGTTCCTTCTTTTCTCTCCCTGCAGGACTGAAGGGCATTCAATGGCTGTGCTCCTCTGCCCAGGGACATCACCTGGACAGTTGGAGACCCCCAACCCTATGTGTTGCCATTGTTTCGAGAGAGGATGCCTTCATGGCACACAGAGAGAGAAAACTTGGTTAGGCCTGTCTCGTAAGTTAAAATATGGGATGGTCAGCCCAGGGATGTGGCTCCGTGGTAAAGCATTTGCCTAGTATTGTCCCTGGGTTCAGTCACCAGCATCACAAAAATAAAAAGGTGCTGCTAGCCCTTTCTGCTCTTCCAGCCTTGGGTGGTGGAACTGCATCTCCCTATCAACAGAACCTGGTACTTCCTAGCACTGTTTATTCTATTTGTTCTGCCCACACTGCCAGTCTTTTCAATAAACTCTTCCAGTGACCCCTGGGGGTGTGTTGTGTGTCTCCTGCCTGACCACCACTGCAACAGCATTTGAGTATCCTCTGACAGCATCAACCTACACACTGAATACAGATTTCTCACTGAATAAGATTATTCTGGGTTTACCAAACCCTTGCAACTTCAGAGAATTACGACTGGTTATGACAATTATGGGTCTCTTTCTCCTCTAAAAGTAACAAAAACAAAAGGCGGTAGCATAGGATACTTTTGTTCCTCTTGGGCACTTTTAAATAGTAGCTTGATAAACAACAGCAATAACAAATTTAATTTTGATTAATAACTGGATTCTTATCACTGAATGATTTTGGCTTCAAAATACCTGTCATCTCCATCAATGATGCATTCAGGGAAGGCGAGGCTACAGCCAAATAACATGATGTGCTGGTAGCAATTGAGACGATGGAGGTATGTGAAGAACTTGATGAACTTCTCCATTTTCATGTTTTTGATAACTGAGATGAGAGGTGTCATTGTGTTATGATAAGGCAGCATCTGACATTGGCTGTGGGTGATGTTCATGCAGGCACCTGAGAAGTGGAGATAATTACATTTAGAAGTAGACATATCAGAAATACATGTTTACAAACTGATTTGCTGTGACAGGTTACTGTGCTCAAAAGATACAGTATATTCTACAAATAATTATTAAAAGTAAAAATTGTTATAGATAGAATATCATGCACACATATAAGTATGTGTAGTATGTAGATATGATATGGAATCAACCTATTAATATTGATAGAAGTAGAGCAATTATTTCCTGGGCAAATAGCTGTGGGATCACAGCTGGCCAGGACAAAATGTATCAAACAAATTTTAAACATGCTTATCTGATGACACTACAATATCATTTCTAGAAACTCACCCTAAGTAAACCATCATGGTCATGAATGTAGATTTATCTGCAGGATCTTCATCTCTGCATAGTTTACTGTTTTTTAGGAGAGAAATCTATCTAAACATTCAACAAATGGAATTGGTTCTAAACATTATGGAATGAACAATAATATTTTATGAAATATAAATGCTTTAGAAGAATAACTATACACAGTGATGCTCATAATGTCATGAATAAAATCAACAAGCCACAAAACCATCTGTATACCATGATCTTGTTTCTGAAAACACACAATTATACAAGGATTTGCAAACCTCCCTATATCACAATTCAGGATCAGCTCAGAGCCTCTGACTTCATTTTCTTACATAGCCAGTTCTTCTGAGCACAACGACAGTCATGGACTTTCCATTTCTTTCATTCCAGAAACTCACCTGGTTGATCCAATATAAACTAAAATGTTGACATGGGTCTCTGGGATGGGATTTTAGGAGCCTTATATTTTTTCTTTAATTCTATAGTCTCTTATTGATTCATATAAAGATGTATTGCTTTTATTTTTTTCCAAATGATATAATCAAAATTAAATTTGTTATTGCTGTTGTCTATCAAGCTACTATTTAAACACAGAATCTTCAGGCTTTAAACATACAGTCAAATAATTAATCATATTTTGAGGGAGGGAAAAATTAGAAGGGAAAGTTCAATAAGAATGGGAACAACTCTTCTGATTGCTCAGAGAGAACTTGAAGAAAATGTTCTCTCCAAACATAAGGCTAACTCCACTTTAATAAAAACAATATTAAAAATAAGGTGGTATCTTTGATAATATGGCCAAACATGTACATCTGTAAGACACAATAAATGCTGCCCAAAATAGCAGGATTTCCTACCCTTTCTGCCTCACTCATTCAAACAGGTCACTTTACAGTCTACTTCTGACCCTTTCCTTATCTACTAGGTCTTCTACTAAGCAACATTTCCAATCTCACTTTTCTTTCACACTGCTCCAAAAACCTTCAAAGACCTGTAGGAAGTCTTTCCCCTGAATGACCAAATTGTAGCCATCAGATCAAAGAGTCTCATACCATGAAAAGATACAATTCCCCATTGTTGGATAATATTCATTGATCACCCACAAAGTGTTGAGCTCAGTGGGTCAAGATCAAAACATGGTTTCCACTTTCAAAGGCAACCAATGACATGTGGAATTTTTCTCTGCACCAAGAACTTAGGGACAAAACCCTTTCTTGTACCTCACCAAATTCAAAATATAAAATGAGACAAAAGAAAATTACAAGGAAATTTCCAAATAAAAATATGAAAATAACACAAATAGACAGAGGTATACATAAATTCAGTTTACCATAAGGGCTGAGGTAGAGCAATCTGGCATATTTCATGAAGATGATGCTCAAATTGTTCAGAGAGGAAAGTTAAGCAGATGTCAGTGTGAAAGAGCATTATGGGCCGGGAAGAGGATACACAGGCAGCAGACTCAAAAATGCCACACTGTGTACACTGTGCTACAAAAACAGAAGTTTGCTTATAAGACACAAAAGTAAGTTTTTCTCTATCAAAAGCATGCACTCATTTTCATAAAATCAGACTTGAAAAGACATTTATTGAAAATCAACCTTGTGCTGGGCACCAAAACAGGCACTCAGATTCTCTCGTTCACAATTATCTTAATTTCACAATTCAGTGAAGTGATATTATATCTATGTTATACATGAGAAAACTCAATTTCAGAAAACCACCTGGGGGTACTTCGCTATCGAGAGTAAATTCCAGAAATGAAACCTCTGTCTTCTGAGTAACTTACATCTGGATGCAACAAGCTAATGTAAAGAGCGTGATTATTTTACAAATAGTTTTTAAAGAGGATAATTATTAATGGCCCATGAAAGGAAGAGGCTAAAATTCATATAATATCACAAGGTTGGTGTATGAGTTCATTTTCTGTTTCTAATAATACAATACCACAGACCTGGTAATTGGAAAGAAGAGAGCTTTGGCTTATGGTTCTAGAGATGCAAGAGTGAGGGGCCACATCAGGTAAGAGCGTTCTTGCTGGTGGGAAACTGCAGAGTTCTGGGACAGCATGGGGCATCGTGTGGCAGAACAGCTTGTGAGCTCAGGGCTTTCTTCCTCTTCCTATGTAGCCACTATTTGCATCATGGGAACCTCACATAGCCTCATTTAATCCTTAATACCTTCCGAAGGCCTCACCTTCATATACCATTAGAATATGACTTTGAGGGTCCAGTTTCCAATACATGAAATTTGAGGGACACATGCAAACCACACAGTGTATCTATATTAATATGTAATATGCCCATATATACTCTACATAATTTGTTTTAATGACATTGTTTTCTTTAGAAATTATCAATTTTAAAATCTGTACACTTGAGCCCAGACCACATTTGAAGCAATTAGATGACCCCAAACTCATGCTCCTCACCTAGACAAAAGAAAACATTGAATATTGAGAGATCATTTGAAAAACAAAAGATAGGAAAATTATAATTTGGTCAGCTACAATTCATTCATGGCACTATGAATTGCACAAAAGAAAAAATAATATTTCCCTCTATATTTCTCTCTATTAGCTAATTCCCATGGGAAGAGAGAATCTATACTCAGGAAAAGTAATATGAAATCCTAAATCTCAGAAGTCTTAAAATAATTGGTAAAACACAAATAATAATGTGTTATATTTGTGTAATGGTTTTCCAAAGTATGATCAAATTATAAATTTTAATCCTAAGAATATAACACATATTTTCTCATAATACATAAAGAAACTAATGCTCTCACACGTAGGTAGAAAGACAATGGATGGGCAAACAAATACCTAAACGGACCAAAAAAAGTGATTTAAGAGAAACACAAGGTCAACAGCAGAAGCGAGACTGTTGTTCAGGTCCTCATAACATTCTTCTTCCTCAACCACAGTTGTCAATAGCACAGCAAACACTGAAGAAATCCCCAAGAGCAAGAATTTAATGTTGGATGGATGATGAAGAAAGATTAGATAAAAAGAAAGAACTCATTTTGTTGTTGAAAAATTTTAAAAGGTCTGGATTAACAGAAGCATATAAAAGGAGAAAAATAAAAATTTAAAGATTGAGAATAAAATGCATGTGACAAAGAAAGATTATAAAATTTCAGTCTGGGCTGAAGTGTTCACCAAACTTACCTAAGAATTTGCTCATACCCAACAAATATAAAAGAGAATTACTTCTAATACTCTGGACTTCAAACTTTTTATATTCAGGTAATTATGTCAGTATCCTATTACCCCTCTCACTCAGCATGTGGATCAAATCATTTTTTTCTAGAACATTCCATTGTATTTGAGATATGTAATTCTGCTATTGTATGTAGATACATTCTTACCAGAAGAAATGAGTTTTCACAAGCCAGCTACATGCTGTGCTCCATGGAAAGTCACTTGTCCCTGAGGAAGGGGAGGGCACTATTGAAAATAGGCTCATTTGCTGTTGTTTCTCAATCAAACTTTGTTTTCTTAGGGAGGAAGAAACGAGGGGATCATTTTTCTTCACTAAGAACTTACTACTGAGTCTAATACAAATTAGAGAGCAGGGCTGATATACAAGAAGATGTATAACTAACCAAAATGTTCCTATAGACATCACTATTTAATGAACTGTTCTAAAGAACAGTTATGCCAAGTTGGGAACTAGAGAAGAGAATCTAAAAACAGGTCTGGAAAACAAAATTGCTTCTTGATGCAATATACTTTTAGTTTGTTCTAGTCTGGTCTGGTTTGGTCTGGTTTGCAACGCTGGGAGTCAAACCCAGGACCTCCTCATGTGTGCTAGGCAAGCACTGCATTACTGAGCTGCATCCCCAGACCCCAATGCAGTGTACTTCTAGTAAGATAGAAATATTTATTCTTATTAGTGACTCGATTCTAAAGCTCCATTGCTAGTAAGACATGATTTAATCACAAATTTTCAGAGTACTCATTGATAACAATGCAGGTCTACAATTTGAGAAAAAAATAAAAATACAAAAACAAAGTGCTGCTGAAAGTTGTTTTCGTGATTTATTTTGTTTTGTTTTCATAACCTAACTCAATGGCTTTCTGGATGAAACTTGGACTTTACTGCTCATACTTCATTGTGAATACTTCTAGATACTAGAATCAGGAAGCAAAGATGGGCCTTTTTAGGAATTTTCCCTATGCTCAATTGGAAATTATGATAAGTTTTGTTCTGACTTTTAGAATTAAATAATATGAATTTTTAAAGCTCTTACTAATTTTAAAAGCAGAATGAAGAATAGTTAACTTTTCAAAACTAACATAGACTTCATCAACAGTCCTGAGTAATCTTAAATGATGATCCCCATAACTAGACAGGCCTGGGGGGGGGGGCGGTGCAGATCCACTTACTAGACATTTCTGCACTGAGTTTTTATATTAATGATTTTTGTTACTCACATTCTCTATTTTCCTTAATTACAAACGATCTCACTTTAAATCTGTGCAATATGGCAAATATTGAATTGCATAGCATTTATTTCAACAGAAGGTTTTTTTAATTTCTTAAAATCAAATAAAATATTGCTTTTTAAATATAAGCAAAACTATATCTAAACCATAGTGATTAGAATACATAGTAGTATTATTTGATAGGAAAGAATCAAACCAAACAA